CTTTCAAAAGTGTGTGGAAATAAAATAAACACACTCCTACATATTTATATATTTTTGTTTTCAAGGTACTAGAACTTCTCCGAAATCATAATCGATTGATACATCACAACCGTTAAATATTATAGGTCTAAAATTACAAAATACACGCATAATAATGCATGCGGTGAGTGATATCGATTGCTTGATTGGGGCAATGTAAATATTTCTCCTTTAATTTTTTTCCTCACCATGGGTTCCCATATTCATTTTGTATTTTAAAACCACAAAATAAATGTTTATTAATGTCTGAGATAACAGTTATTAATTGCTCGATCGAAGAAGGGCAAACACTTCTACTTTCGTTGCACGCTAAACAACTCAACGCTAAATCATTTCGTCTACGTCTCTTTCCAAAAAGTGTACTCAACACTAAATCATTTCGTCTACGGCTCTATCCAAAAAGTGACTGTATGATGCTTTTTATAAACAACATATTAATGAAAAACTTATTCAAATATGATATTGATTTTACAAGCGTACAAAAAATCAACAAAATAGAGAATTGAAAACGAGTATAAACACTAGACAAGGTGTCCTCGATCCGTGATAATGAGATACATGCATAATGATGCACTGGACAAGACGTAATGATTATATTACTTGATCGGAGCGTGGCAAACTTTACTTGATTTGCATGTCGGGAATGTGTCCTCATTTTAATTTTGACTTTGAAAATTATTATGTATGTTTCGTTTCTCAAAAGTCATTTTCATCAGAAATATTATAGAACTGTATTACATAAATAACTAACTTTTTCAACCTCTTTCATATGTCTTTTCTACCCTTTTTTCTTTTCTCATTGGATTAATTACTCTTCGTATGTTTTCTTCTTCCCTTAATTACATAAATAACTAACTTTTTCAACCTCGTTCATATGTCTCTGGCACGGATATGCCACGAAATATGCACGGATTCTTTCAATTTTTTGTCAACATCCTTGCTAAATTTGTTTTGTTACAAAAGTGTGTGGAAATAAAATAAACACACTCCTACATATTTATATATTTTTTGTTTTCAAGGTACTAGAACTTCTCCGAAATCATAATCGATTGATACACCACAACCGTTAAATATTATAGGTCTAAATCACAAAATACACACATAATAATGCATGCGATGAGTGGTATCGATTGCTTGATTGGGGCAATGTAAATATTTCTCCTTTAATTTTCTCGTCACCATGGGTTCCCATATTCAATTTGTATTTTGTAACCACAAAATAAATGTTTAATAATGTCTGAGATAACAGTTATTACTTGCTCGATCGAGGAAGGGCAAACACTTCTACTTTCCCTGCATGCTAAACAACTCAACGCTAAATCATTTCGTCTATGGCTCTATCCAAAAAGTGACCTTATGATGCTTTTTATAGACAATATATATATATATATATATATATATATATATATATATATATATATATATAATTTGGATCAAATAAAAAAAAGTCTTAATGTGTAAAATGAGAATTAATCTCAGTCGTCCAAAGTGTCGATCTGCTGCACAATAACCCCTATCTGATGCACTTTCGAATAGACCTTATTTGATGCACTTTTCGAAAAGTGCATCAAATAAGGTCTATTCGAAAGTGCATCAGATAGGGGTTATTGTGCAGCAGATCGACACTTTGAACGACTGAGATTAATTCTCATTTTACACGTTAAGATGTCTTCTCATTTGAACTCATCCCTATATATATATATATATATATATATATATTAAAGAAAAACTTATTCAAATATGATCTTGATTGTACCAAGCGTACAAAATATCAACAAAATAGAGAATTGAAAACGAGTATAAAAACTAGAAATCGGAATGACATAAGCACGAAAAAGAATGCATTAAATTTGTACTAACTTTTAAATAAAATTATAAAAACAAAAAATGTAAAAAATTAATCAATTAAAATATTAAATTAAAAAAATATCAATAACAAAATGTATAAAAAATTCAAATAGAAAAATACAATATAAATTATAAAATAAATACATTAATAAAATAAAATTTAACACTGCAAAATGATAAAATATTGTATAATGATGTAAAGTGAAAAAATATACAAGAATAATTTAAACATGTGCACAATTAATAAAAATATAAATATTTACATGAAATAAAATCATCTTAAAATTATAATGAAAAATAAATATTACAAGGGTAAATTTTGAAATGAAAAATATACAAAACTCGAAATAGTTGAAAATAATGTATAACTTTTTTCAATTATGAAATGATGTTAACTAAAATGTACAAACTTTAAAAAATAATAAATTTCAGACAAAATTTAAATTCAAAAATAGAAAACAAAAAAAGTTATTAAAAAACATTAAAAATAGAATTTATAAAAATACAATGTAAGAAATGAAGGATGAATATATATATATATATAATATTAAAAATATAAAAAAAATATTAAATATTTTATAATAAGATGTTTAGAAGTCTTAAAAATGTAAGAAGAATGTAAGAACATTTAAAAATCGAGAAAATGAAAAAGCAATGATAGAAAAGTATCTGAAAATTGAAAATAAAATGAGGAATGATGGGAAAAATTAAAAATGAATATATATTCTAGAAATTAGACTTTTTATCAACAGTAAAAATGTAATAAAATTTTAAGAAATACACATTTCAAATAAAATGTAAAAAAGGTAAATATGTAAAAATGTCTTAAAATACAACATACCTCGTATAATTTTTTAAAATTATTTTATTTAAACTACTTAATTTTTTTCTTTTTTAAAGGTAAGTTACTTTAAATTGTAAATATTTATTTTTTGGGAGAACTATCAAATAAGCCATTGAACCTACATAAAAAGTGCTACTTTGTACCAAAGTAGCAAAAATAAATGAAAGCATAAATTAGAAAATTAAGAAAAATAATAAAAACAAGACATTGAACAATGATAAACAAAAAGCAACAAGATACAATGTAACAAAAAAACAAGAAGATGCAACATATAGCAACACAATACAACAAAGAGAAACAAAAAAAAAAAGAGAAAACAACATATAAGACCCACATTTGATTTTTTTTTCATATTCATTATTACAATTACAAATATAATTATTCAATATATAAGTGTACAACCAGACTTGTCAAGTTTAGATAATTGTGATTCTCTTATAAAAGCATAATAAGCTAGTCAATTAAGCATCCCTTAAGTTTGATCCCTACGTTGAAAAGATGAAAGTTCGAGTATGAAAGACAAATACTTTTGTGACATAAATGAAATGGGATATCAAAGAGTGGTCTACATGTCTTTTGAATTTGGAAGGAGGCGGGAGTGGCACTCGGGAATGGGGACGTGTCTTTTGAGGTATGGCTTAAACAACTCCTGTCTTGTGTAGATAAAGAGTCGAGTTGTAAAGTGGCTATGATAGTATGGGGGTTATGGAAGAGGAGAAATTCTATTGTCTGGGAGGATGAGATGCAGGAGACGGTCGGTGTTTTAAACAGCTGTGCTTGAATGTTACTCGCCTGGAGGGAGGCCCAGGGGAATCCCAAGACGACGGGCAGTAGACAGGGCAGGGGGGGGGTTCCGAGATGGAGTAGACCAAGACCGAGTTTTTTGAAAATAAATGTGGATGCAACAACATATATGCCAGTGGGAAGAAGAGCTTGGGGTTGGGTGGTCAGGGATGATCAGGGGGATTTTGTCAAAGGGGGAGGCGGGTCGGTGACGGCGGACTGGAACCCGGCGGAAGCCGAAGCTATGGGGATAAGGGAGGCTTTGTTGGTTGCCGAGGAGGAGGGCTGGGAAAGGATCGAGCTAGAGTCAGATGCACAAGTTGTCATCAGAGGCATCAAGGGCAGCGTTGGATTGGCTTACTTGGACCTGATTATTGATGATATTCGTTCCATTCTTGCTACAAAGAGGAATTACTCTATCTCTTTTTGTTCACGATCTGCGAATCGTGTAGCTCATAAGCTTGCTAGAGCGCACGTATCTATCTCAGATCATAGATGTAGTTATGATATTATTCTGGATTGTATTGTAAGCAGGGCCGGTCGTGTCCATTGCTGGGCCTATGGGCGAAATACTATATTGGGCTTATACCCAAGATAACCCGCAAACTATACATATTTAAAATACGGTTTTTAAAAAATTTTACTAAAACAAAACTTATTTACACAAATATAACTAATAGTTACTAAAATATAGTGTCATGGTTATTTATGTATAAAAATTGAACATAAGTTACTATAATTTAGTTACTACTATAGTCACTAGTCATATTTTTGTAAATCATCTTTACTATAATTTAGTTACTACTATAGCTACTAGTCATATTTCTTTAAAATATGAATAATAACAAAATATCGAATAAAGCTCATAAAATAAAAGGCAAAATTGGCTTTACTATGATTTAAATTACATATTTGGGCAAAAGTAACAACACAAGTACTAGATAAAAAGAAAAAATACCATTCAAAATGTTTTTCGCAGAACAATGCGAAGCGAAATCATCAATAATTGCTTAAAAGGAATAAAAAATATTAAAAGTTAAAGAGATCTGAAGACTAAAGAGATATGTCTTTTATTGATTCAACAACAATTGTGTTGCTTTAAAAACTACAACTGGTCCTACTTAAAATTAATGTATATTCTTTTTTTAAACTCGACTTCGTTTAAGACATTTTACTTGTGTTCTATTTTCAACAAAAATAAACATTTGGCCTAATTAAAAAAGAAGTCTACTCAAACTATATATGCAGAAAAAAATTGGGCCTATGTTTCTTTCTCTATATTTTCGGGCCTAGGGCGGTCGCCCTTGTTGCACCCCCTCAGAACCGGCCTTGATTGTAAGCTAGTTGGCAAATGATCTCTTGAATTAATAAAATTGTTAGTCTCGTTTTCCAAAAAGAGTGGTCTAGATGGGCAATTAACACTTTCTTCTTCTTCAGCCCAGTTCACCCCCCTTATTCGTCTTCTTCAGTCCGGCCCACCCTCCCCAGTTTTTCTTCTTCAGCCCAGCCCGCCCCCTTCTTTTTTGTTCTTCTTCTTCTTTCAAGAGTAACCCCAAAAGAGGCAGCATTGTTAAACTTGCTTGATTCGAACCGAAAATGTCAAAAACTTCATCAGAGATTTAGAAATCAAAGTTACTACACACCTAGGAGATAGAGAAAACAAGTTACGGCTGAAGGTCGGATGCAGAGTCGCAGACAGGTTACAGCTCACGCTTGTGTAAACAGGTTTGCTCTCCTTCAATTCCGTGGAAATGGCAGAAATAGAGATTAGGATTATTGTCGTGACCTACTCGTGACGGGAATTATATAGAATAGGATTAATTAGAGATACAAATCATGCATTTTCAAACACAACTACGGGAGCCGAAATTGATTAATAAAACCGGAAAACAAGTGACGGCTTGAAAGCAGCGGAGCTCCTGGCTGAAGAAGGGAGGGGTGGGGCGGGCTGAAGAAGAAGAGAGGAAGGAGAGAGGCGGGGAGCTAGGGCTGAAGAAGAAGAAAGAAGCAGTGAAAAAGAAAAGAAAAAATGATTTTTTTTAAATACCGCCTGGATTGCCAAGTAACTGTTTACATTTCAAGTAAGAAAAAAAATGATTTTTCCTAATTCCTCGATTGATTGAATTGTCGCATTTACAGATGCGATTCATTTTCTAGTTCTGATTAAGCATGATTGGAAATTAAGTTGAATAGAAGAATTGTATTTAATTACTATCATGTTATTGAATGTATTCTTAATTGTCTATGAGAACTGTAAATAAGGAAAATATAAGAGGGTTATTGCTTACTGGCCTAGATGTGTTTTGTTTTTTAATGTTTTTTTCTGGCCATTGACCTGAAGGATTGTATTCTTTCTCTGAGGATGTTAAAGAGTGAGATCCTTCTTCAAAAAAGACGGGGGAAAGGCTCCAAAATTGATCATTTTTTCCTGCAATGATGCTTCTATACTATGCAAGTATTGAATTATATTATGTGGATGTGATGGATAATCTTTTTGCATATTGATTTTCAAGCAACATGGTGGAAGAAGCTTGTTGCCTAATTCCCTTTAACCTTTTGTGAAGTGAAGTACCTCGGAAGCTGAGATGTTTCTCACTGCACACAATGGTATGTTAAGGATTTTTTACTCGCATTATTGCAACACGCACTTCCAGTGAAATGTGAGAACAACTCTAGGCCCTTCATCACTTAAAGAAAGAATGTTTAGATCCTTTTGATTCAACATACATGATACATGATGGTATAACTCAGGGGCGGATCATACTTAGGGCAGGGGTGGGCTTCAGCCCAGCCCATTTTTTTCGGGCTTAATTAGTATAGGTATAAGATTTAAATCCAGCCCATCCCAGAATTATTCCTAGCCCACGTAAAAATGAAATACCGCCCACTTCAAGAAGAGTCGCACGCGGGAATCGAACCTGAGCTGGCTGAATGGTGTTCGGATTCCAATCCACTCAACTACATTCACATGTTGGTCTAAGCCTTGCTTTTTAGAAATATATTACGTACCATTTGAGCTCCAATACACTATAATGTTTATTATCCATCAACTAATGAGTTAACTAAACAATTAATACTAACAAAATAATGCACACACTCTGCTCATATTATACTTCTCATTCGCATATATTATATGTGGAAGTATATTTCTATTGCATCTTTAAGATTTTGTAATTGATTTCATGTCTATATTTATTGTCCATCTATATCAAAATCTATTTTAAATTTTGTTAAAACCAACTTTACATAATGCTTTTTAATTGGATTATATTGTACTATCATTATTAAATTATGAAAGAATAACATTTTCTATCTAAGAATTTAATATGAGATTTTTAAAAACATATAATTAAAATAAAATTTATTTACAAAGATATAACAAATCGTTAATTCAATCTAGTGTAATGGTAATTTAAATTTAACACGTGAACATAGTTTATTTTTATTCTAATACTATCTAGTCACTAATCACGTTTTTATAAAGAATCTTATTTTGGTCATAAATATGTAATTATTTCATTTAATATTACGTATGTATACATATATACATATACATATATATATATATATATATATATATATATATATATATATATTGATTAACACGGAAGGTCTGGAGCAATTGTATCGCTGTGTTCGTTTTAGCTTTGTTATTTTTAGATTGTAAATCAATTTGATTATTAATTAAATTTTGCATTATATAATAAAATAGTGTTTATTCATTGTAAATTTATAATGATTAAAGATAGAGTTAAATATTAGGGAATGATTTATTTATTACACAATTGAAGATTAGAAAGTGATTTATTTCATGTGTGGACATGTAAGAAAGAATTAAAAAGTTAATTGAATTTTGAAATACTAAAATCTTTAATTAATAAATTTTTAAAAACTTACTAAAACGTTTAAATTTTAGAAGTATATTTTTTTTTATGCTAGAGCCCGGATCGAACCGAACATTAGTAAGCTCGAATTCGGCTTGAATAACTATTCAAACTCAAAATCTAGCATGTTTTCGAGTTCAAAGCTCGTTAAACTCCGGTGGTTAAATTAAATTCAAAATCACGTTGAAAATCGAGTAGTTCGAAAACATCTCAGTTTGATAACAATTCTAAGCTAAACCTTTTGTGTGTAGTAACAAATATTTTTACTACTTAGCCCACCCCACCCCTCATTCCTGGATCCGCCCCTGGTATAACTGTAAATTTATGTGAAACTTGAACGTGAAACAGTTAGTAGTCGAAGTGCATCTTATGCATCGTACATAAGAGTGCACATCTATGTATCTAAAAAATCACTGCGCAATTCATTAATGCATATTTTAGTTCTGATATAAGAGCATTTTTGTGATACAAAAATTCCTTTTTTACATATTAGAGTGCACTTTTGTCATGCATCACTTTGTTTTCTTAAGAAGTCTTAGTTTTAGACTATTGCCACCACGTTGTTGTCTTCAAATTTGATCCGATCCTTGTATTTCTCAAATCATTGCCCAAGATAAGGAAGGGATTGGAGAGAAATGCCTTTCTTCTCATTATCTACCCACTCTCCCATCAAACAACTCACTATCTACTCTCTTTCTCCACCATTCATCCATTGGGATTAATTGTAATGCTTAATGTTTGACTTGATTTTCATTTCCTAATGTATCTTCCTAAGATGAGACTTTCAAAAAGCTCAATTTGAATTGTTCATCTCACCACTATATATCACAATGCACATACTTTCTTAGCCATGACGGATATCTTATTTGTATATTTCCATGCAGAAGCAAATGGAACCCTTGAAGATGGAAATAGACCTTGACCGGATCAGCAATTTGCCAGCACATATTACTGACAAGATCTTATCACACTTGTCACTTAGGGATGCTGTCACGACAAGTGTCCTATCAAGTAAATGGAGATACAAATGGGTTACTCTTCCAAACCTCGTATTTGACAATCAGAGTCTTTTTGCTTCTCCCCAAGACCATTCCCTTATTAAAAGCAAGATAGTCAGCATAGTTGACCATGTACTGTTACTTCATGTGGGACCAGTACACAAATTCAAGCTTTCTCATCGGGATCTTCAAAACGTTGTTGATATTGATAAATGGATTCTCTTCCTGTCTAGAGGTCCTATAAAGGAATTTATACTTGAGATTTGGAAGGGCCATCGCTATAAACTCCCATCAGCCACATACCTCTTCCACAAACTGGTCCACTTAGAACTGTTCAATTGTCTTTTGAAACCGCCCGTGACATTCAGTGGCTTTAAATGCTTGAAGAGTCTTGATCTTCAGCACATTTCCATGGAACAAGAAGCATTTGAGCATCTCATCTCTAGCTGTTCTTTGCTTGAGCGGTTGACTTTGATGAACTTTGATGGGTTTAATCATTTGAAGATCCATGCTCCTAATCTCCTCTACTTTGATGTTGGGGGTGTTTTCGATGATGTTAGTTTCAAAGGTACTTTCCATCTGGCCACTGTCTCTATTGGTTTATATGCGAATGATGTTGAGGAAAACATGGGTTTTGCTGGAAATGGAAATTTAGTCAAGTTTTTTGCTCATCTGCCCAGAATACAAAGGCTCGAGGTGCAGAACTACTTCTTGAAGGTATTTATTTCATTTTCATATTGCTCGATTGGGTGATCAGTGATGCCTTAGGATGAGTTCGGAGGGAGTTTTTTGAAGCGTTTTGGAGAGGAAGACCATGAAGGCTTAGTCTATATTTTATGTATAGAATGCTCATAATCTAAAAACAAATAAAGGATGATCAAATGTTAGGTTCATGTAGTATGCTATCTTTCTTAAATATATAAAGTATGCTCATAATCTAAATATATGAATATATTTAGTATCAAATGAGAACCATGTTTAACATGAGAACGTGAGAACTCTACTTTTAAGAAAATGTGATGCACTATAGTGTGTATACATTGCACATTTTCATTTTGACGAAATATTTATAAATCTGCCACCATATTTATTTGATGTTGGCATGTTTGGACCAAAATTTAAAAAGTGTAATTGGTGAGTCTCACAGTCCACCAAATTGTGTTAAATGTGCATGGTTCTCACGTTCTCACGTTAAGTGTGGTTCTCATTGGAACCGCTCCCTATATACATACATACATACATATATATAGGGGTGAGATCACATACAAACTTGTCCTCTCATGCTAACCTACAAAATGTCACAAACTGTGCATCTTTACATTATTTGTATTGCATATTAAAGTTCAAAGTGTTGCATATTATTTGTATTGCATATTGAAGTTCAAAGTGTTGCATATTATTTGTATTGCATATTATGTTCTAGTGTAAGACTAAAAAATAGAGGCCAATCAGCAAAACAAAATACATTATGCCTTCCCTTGAAGTTTCCTCAACCAAACAAAATATTAGTGATATGTTTATGTTTTTGATTCTTCATATTTTTTTGTCTTGCAGTATTTGGCTGCTGGTATAGTACCGGGAAAACTACCTAGACCTTGTAATGAGCTTAGTTTCCTTTCTGTACGCATCAATTTCAACTCTATGGATGAGTATCTAGCGGCTCTATGCCTACTCAGGAGTTCTCCCAATCTTCAGGAGCTTGAAGTTGTGGTAAGTTAATATCAATTTGGTTTGACAGGTTTGATTGCACTGTCAATTTTACTTATGTTATACTATCACTTTTGGTCTCGTACTCTCGTGTGAATGTCCTTCTGAGCACATTTGCATCATAAATTGAACTGAAGAGGGATTCGAGGTAAACTATTCTACAATGTATGACTTTAATGTAATTATTAGTGAATTCCTGTAAGTTTCACCGCAATTTGGTTAGAAAGTTAAGAATGAAACTTTTGCACCAAACTTGCAAAATTTTAAGACCAAGACCAAAATTCATCTGAGCACCAAAGGCAGCTATTGGCTTATGGGTCAATTAGTGACTTATTATTTATTGCTAAAATTTCAACTTAATTTAAGTCAATTTCATATAGTATTTGGTGAATGTTAGTTGATAACATTGCTTTGAAATACAAAAGATCAAAATATAACAGGACATGTTTAATTTAATTTGAAATAAAATAGGGTTTAAAACCAAAAAAAACACGTTCCTTATTCGAAAAGCAACCTAACGGAGCTTATTAATTATGTTCAAACTTAAAAATAACTTTACCACCAGACCAAACTTATTTGAAAAGCTTTCTTTTAAAAAGTCTAATAACTACTCATTATCTTATGAGCTAACTTATAGAGTGCCAACGTAATCTAGAGTGTTGTTCTATTGCTTATTTTTTTAGCTTATAAATTTGTTCTTATTTTAATATGACTAAGCCAAATCAAATTAGAAAGAACTTAGACGTGGCAAGAAACAAGAACATACCAGAAACATTCGGACAAAACCAGACTAGAAATATTTAGACTAGACTTGATCAGTTGATGTTATATTTCAGGAAAGATCTTTAAAAAGTTCAGAAGAAATTAGGTCTTTAAAATTTCTGATCAGATCAAATTTTTTTCAGGCCAATAAAATAGGTTCTTTGATCTTTTATTAGATGCAGAAAGCAATGAGATAGCAAACAAATTCATGGATACAAATCGACAATACTTGAATTTATTGGATATTATGTACAGGGTCGCGCAGAAGAACAGAATTCACCACCAGTTGGGATTGCCTTGGGGGAAGAGAAGTATCAGAATTTTAAGTTTAAAAGACTGCGGGAGGTTAAGATATCTGGCATCTCTGGTTTCAGACAAGAGCTGAACTTCATAAAGTTGATTCTGGGGAATTCACCTGATCTTGAAACAATGACTATCAAGCCCTCTTCTAGCGATGGAGCTTGGGAGATGTTGAAACAACTTCTCCGCTATAGACGTGCCTCTGTCCAGGCTGAAATCATCTACCTTGACCCTTAGCATTATTATGCGGCATCACCTTAGAAAGTAAAACTACTCCCTCTTGTCCTATTGATTGGATAAGATGAAGCCGTCTTACATACATGCCATGTTAATAATAATATCGATGCAAATTTAATTTGTTTTCCGAAATCGCCCATATTAAATGAAGCTGTGAGGAAGGGTATGAGATTGTTGCAAACAATGAAAGTAGTATTGAACAAGGTCAGTAGTCATATTTGAAAAGCTAAGAATATTTTAATTATCTACTTAGTTTATGTAAAGCCAAAATGGAGCCCCATAAGTAGGATCAGAGGGAGTACTCAGTATGTCTATAGGAAAGTCTTGGACATTTTTAATGTTGTGTTGACTATTAGCATATTAATGTCGACTATATTATATGATGGCTTAATCATTTAATTTATGTAGTAAGGTGTTCATTATTCAGGCTCAGACCAGTTATTTATTCTATTCACTCCCTTTTCTGGTAGCAGCTAGGGAAGAGTTTAATTATTTATCATGCTGGATTGGTTCAGGATCTGATCGCTCAAGTTTGTGACTTCATTTCTTCATGGGTTACATTAGTGATGGACCCGGGCTGGGCCTAAGCCCGGTCGGGCTTTAGAAGTTGGGAGGTAGGCCTGGAACCAGCCCGGGTAACCCCCAGGTCGGGCCTCGGGCCAAATTCATTTTTTTCCTTTTTCTACTTAACCCCCGACCCCCCAAACCCCCCAAACCACCCCAAATGGCCCAAAATGGCCCAAAATACCCAGCCCAACCCGGGAATTAAAAAAAATTGAAAAGAAAAAAATTATGGCCCGAACTGGCCCCGGCCCGGCCCGGCCGGTTCCTTATTTTCCTGACCCGAGCTCGCACCAGAAACCCCCCGGGCCGGGCCTACCCCGCTACCCGGACCGGTCCCTGGCCGGGCCTAATAGTACCCGGCCGAGTCCGGGTCTGTGTCGGGCCACCCGGCCCGAGTCCACCACTAGGTTACATATAGGCCTAGGATCGGTTCGGTTCTTTTTACAATTCGATGGAACCGTATTAAAAATCAAAGGTGTCAAATTCGGTTCGGTTCTAGTTAAAAATGTAGTTAAATTCGGTTTGGTTTTTACCTTTTTTGGTTCCTTGGAAAAATTTATTATCATACTAAAATGAACATATTTTACCTTCAGTTATGTAAAAAAATTCAAATTTCAAATCATGAAATTATGTCCATTGCATTACACATACTGATATCCCAATGTTCAAATATCACAAAAAGTCCAAGTGCAAACATTAAATTTAAACATAACAAAAACATAAAGGCTTAAAATAGGCATCAATTGTCAAGTAAAAATGTTTAATAGCTCCAAGGTACACATCCAATAGCAGGTAGTTTCAACCTCACAATAATATTCTTCTGCTAATAATGCACCATAAGTAAAAAATTTGTAGTAATAAATTGATTTGTAATATTTATAATTTATTATGAACAAATAACAATGTAATCAATGGAATATTAATTCGTTTTTTAGGTGAAGTCCAAAATTCTAGGTTAAAAATAAATAAATATACTACCTAAAAAACAATAAATATAAAAGTGAACAAAATAGTTAAAAATAATTACTCGGATTGGCTTGGTCCATAATATATAAGCTATATTATGCAAAACAAATATTCCCGATAAGAATTTTCTGCCCAAATTGCTATCTGGCCACCTCAATTTGAGGTGCTTCCGAGTAGAATTTTTCGATGACATTTTGTGAGAATGTTTTACTTGAAGTGTAGATTATATCCACTAAATTTCAGTTTAAAATTCAACCGGGAAGTGAGTTAAATAAAATATTTAAAAACATTGCGTTTTTACATATATTTTGACGTAGTATTTTTCAATAATTTATTTAATCGACTTCCCGATTGAATTTTAAGCTCACATTTGGTGGACATAATCTATACTTCATGAAAAATAAGCTCACAAAATTTCACCAAAAAATACCACTCAGAAGCACCTCAAATGGAGATTATGCATGCAATGTATAAGAAGTTTGATTCCTATCTAGGAACCGGAACCGAACCATTCCTATACTATAGGAACCGAACCGTAAAAAGCCGAAGTCCAAAATTCTAGGAACCGAACTGAACCGAAAAATTCGATTCGGTTCGAATCGGGTTTCCCGATTTTACGGTTCTAAGTCCCAGGCCTAGTTACATAAACTTTTGATTTGGGAGCCGGAGGTGTGTGCCTCACTGGTCATACCTTGCCTTCGATTGAGCTCTTTGGTTATCAAAACATATGAAAAAAAATAATTTTGTGGCATTCGACGAACTTAGAATGTAAACTTGTACAGCATTTTCAAGTGTAGTTCGTCGCTGAAATGGTTGTAAAATTTTATTTGAAAAGACGTTTAAGTGTAAATATATTTCTCAAACGAGCATTTTACTGATAAAATTTAAACCTAAGTCAATTGTTATACTGTGGGAGTAACTAACTTATGATGGTCATCCTACTCCCACGCAGGGTTGGGCCAGGCTCGGGTTGGGACGGGATACGGGTGGGATTGGCTTTTTGGGCTATAGCCCCAGTACCGACCCGGGTTAGTAGTTAGTACTGGGATTGGGTCCGGGTCGGGTTGGGTCAAGTTCTTATTTTATTTTCAAGGCTTTTCAAATTAATTCCTACCCCCCACCCCCTCAAAACCCCCCAATCCATCCAGCCTCACCCACCTAGACGAAGACCAAAGCCAAAAAATAAAAACTAAAAACAAAACCTGGCCCGGACCGGTCCCCCTTTTCCCTATCTCGTAGCCCGCCCCCTACCCCCGGATCGGGCCCCAGTCTCGGTCCCGTCCGGTCCGGGTCGGGCCTGCACAGTGCCGGGCTGTGGGCCATCCCAGTCCAACCCTACTCCAACGGCTAAAACACGTGTGAACAGTAATATGCGTAACAATAATTTTGATTTTTTCAGCAGTAGAGTGGTGTAACTTGCGTTTAAATAAATGTATTTTACGTTGATGAGAAATGTAATTGGAGAAAAATCGAAATGTAAATTGTCTAATGTGGAGTGTAAGAAAGAAAATATTGATTTCAATGTATACAATGAAAAAGTAGTGAATATGTTTTGTTTTTAATATCAAGACCATAAAAATGATTTTAATAAATCAATTTTAGGAGTTTTTTGTGATGTAATTCGTGTTATTTCAAATGTAACGCACATCGATGGAAAATGTATGTTATATGTACGCAAAATGTAACTTGTGAGTCAAGTCCAAATGTAACTGACACATAAGAATATCTAATTCATACATAAGAAGATGAAATTCGCGCATAGGAAGATGTAACTCGTGCATTAAATAATGATACTTGTGGACATGAAGATGTAAATCACACACAAGAAAATGTAACTCGTGCACATGATAATATAAATCGCTATAAGAAGACGCAACTCCATGTATTCCATATAGAAATGTAAAATGCACATATGAAAATTTAACCTCATGTGTTTATCAAATGTAAATTGAAAGAAACATATTGAATGCCTTAAAAACTAAGGGTGGGATTAGGGGTGGCCCGGTTCCGGTCTGACCGGCCCGGGAACCGGATCGGACCGCCACTATTCGGGACCGGCCCGGTTGACCGGGATCGGCCTGTTGGATTTTTGGGGGTGGTTCTGGGCTGCACCTCCTTTGGTACCGACCCAGGCCCAATTTGTTTTTGTTTTCGAATTGTTATAAAAGCTATAAACCCGGTACGTACTTTTATAAAAGTTATAATTAGAAAAGCTATAAAAAAAATCGGCCCGACCCGGTTCCGAGCCTAAACCCACAAACAAAAAGCCCACTTTGGACCGGCCCGGAGCCCGGCCCAACCCGGTACCGGTCCATGCCTAGCTAGGTGGGATTAGGATGATCACGATTGCCAAAATCCCGATCCCGTCCCGATCCCGACTCAAAATACAAGAGGTTCCCGTATCCCGTCCCGGTTAAGTCAGGATCCCGGCATTAAAATCCCGATTAAGTACCAAACATAAAATTATGTAATTTCTTTAGTTAAACACTAACTTTCATATTTAGTGGTTTTAACATTATTCTTTGGTTATTAGTATACCAAATTTATCATCATCTACTTATAAAATTTATAGTCATAATTATCATCTTGAATTCAAAGTAGTACGTACTTTTAGAATAATTTTTATTTATAACTTCAAGGCTGAGTGAAACTTACTTCAAAGGAAGGTTGTGTAACGTACATTATTTAAAATTCAAAACTAAGTAGACTCATTGAGAAACTTTTTGACCAATGAATACAATGTATAAATACATATTATGATTATTTACTAAAGAAAGAAATCTTAGTGTCGATCATGATTTTTTAAAGAGTTCATCAAAAACGCAAAAATTGTAATATTGTTGTGATTTAAATTGTCGGGAGCAAAATAATCTCTATTTAGTTAAGATCCAGAATATTTACTTTGGGACAAATGCCGAATAGTTTTAGAAGTTTGTTATTGTAACATTAAAGATTAATCTATGTAAGGAATAAGTAAGTAAAAAAGATATGCAAATATTTAGATACAAATTCATATTTTTATATTCATTTATAGATGCAAATATGTAAATGTATGTTCTTATATATATATTCATATATATTATATGTATGTATATATACAATCTCAGGATTTTCCCGATCCCGACTTTTTTCAAAAAAAAAAATCTGGTCCCGTCCTGACTTAGTCGGGATCGGGAAAAATTCTCGACTAGTCACGATTGGGATTATCAGGATTGGGATTGTTGGGATCGGGTGGCGGGATTCAGGAAAAATTTCCCACCGCCATTAAAATCCACTAAAAACATATAAAAGGGATAAAAATGTTTATAAAAAAATGTATGAGTATGAAACAATATTGTAAGAAAGTTTATGAATATAAAAAATATTACAGAAAAATTAGTGCATGAATAAAAAAATGCAATATACTTATTTTATGTGGATAAATCCATTTGTGTTAGGAACTGATAAAGAATAAAAATAGATTGTGTTACGTTGTAATTTAATTTTAAGATAAAGAAAAGTAAAATTATAATAAAATTTTTAATATGACATGTACGATATGAAGGAGGAGGAGAAGAAAAACCTACATCTATTAGTGGTATTGGTACATCTTACGCACATTGGGACGATTATACAATATATTTCCTTTGTTCGGATATAAGTGCAACATGCACTTCGGCACAGATTACGAAACCAAGTGAAGGGGTTGGACTTCACTATTTTACCCTTCTACCGTTCTACGTAAGAAAGTACCAGCCACACAAATAAAGTGCTACAGTACCTAAAACGGCTAAAAGGAGTAGTGGATAAAATTATTACAACCAAGAAATAAAACAGCGAGCCCCGGTGTACTGCTCAGTCTCGGAAGACGAAGACCGGCCCTTTGCCTAAACTCCGGTGAGCGACTTTTATCTGGAGGCCGCAACAGTCCACCTCCGCCAACAGTCCTCCTCCCATGGCTTG